TGGGCCTGATCCCTCGGTTGTCCTGCACTTGCTGCATAATGGCACTCAAGATGACCTGCTCCATGACCTTCCCCGGCACCGAGGTCAGGCTGACAGGCCTGTAGCTCCTGGGATCCTCCTTCCAACCCTTCTTGTAGAGGGGCGTCACGTTTGCTAGTTTCCAGTCATCTGGGACCTTCCCAGTTGACCAGGACTGCTGATAAATGATGGAAAGTGGCTTGGCAAGATCCTCTGCCAGCTCCCTCAGTATCCTTGGGTGGATCCTGTCTGGCCCCATGGACTTGTGAGCATCCAGGTGGAGGAGCAGGTCGGTGACTGCCACCTCTTCGACAACTGGGACTTAATTCTGCATCCTATCTCCATCTCCCAGCTCGGGGGCCTGAAAACCGCGAGGATGACCAGTCTCACTATTAAAGTCTGAGGCAAAGAAGGCATTAAGTACCTCAGCCTTCTCTTCATCCTTTGTGGCAATGTATCCCTTCACACCCAACAAAGGAGAGAGATTCTCCTTGGCCCTCCTTTTGTCGCTGATATATTTGTAGAAACATTTTTTGTTGTCTTTAATGGCAGTGGCCAGTTTAAATTCTAGCTGGGCCTTCACCTTTCTAATCTTCTCCCTGCATAACCTCACAACATCCTTGTAGTCCTCCTGAGTTGCCTGCCCCTTCTTCCAAAGGTGGTAGGCTCTCCTTTTTTTCCTGAGTTCCAGTCAGTTTACAGGACATTCTGATACTGATGCACCTACTGATTTTAAATTAGTTCCATTTTCTACACAACGGAAGCAAGACTGTAAATTACACTCTTACCTTTACAGTTTCATACCAGCAAGGTTGCTTGACCTGATAATAAACAACAGACTTATATTCGGAGACACCTTCATAACCAGCACCAGGATGGATAGCTTTCTTTGGACAAAAAGACAAGGGGAGGAGGGAAAAGGGAAAGGTAAGGTCTAGAATGAAAGCAAAAAGTATCTTAGGTCAGAAATTTTCAAAGCATGTAACTGTCAGTTACTCAAAGTCTATGCCTCACAGCCAAAGGAACGCAACGTGTGTCACCTCTTTGAAAGTTTTACAGAATCTTTAAAGATTTGCTCACATCTCTTATTAATGTAAAAAAAAAAAAAAAAAGTCAGTGAGTATTCAAATTTGGTCACTGAGATCACCTATAATAGCTCTTGTTCATTATCACACAGTCCTTGCATAGAGTTGATAAATAAGATCCTACGGACCGGAGCTATCATCTAGCAAACACACAGCCCTGTGACCTCCTGCAAAGGCCATCATACCTCTTGGAGATTTCCATCTTCATCATGTACAGACATGGTGACTTCTACATTCTTGGGAGTCTTCTTCTTCCCTTTGTCAAACTCCCCTTGTATCAGGGTGACATAGATATCATTTCGAACATCACCTAAAATTCATAGTGCTTAATGAGTTGTTTTTCTCATACAGACGGTTATACAGGTTAACATTTAACATCCTTGGGTACCACCTTATCCTTTTCTTCTTCTTAGCCTTTACTGATAGTAGGTAATTAATGACACCCAACATCACACCATTTCATCTTCATCTCAAATTATACAAAAAGTCTTTAAAAATGTACCATTCTCCCTTTTTTTAAACCTCTGTCTTTACATAACTTTTTTTTTTTTTTAATGCAATGAGCTCTATAGGGCTAAATCCACTTTGAATGGATTAAATAAAGCAGGGTCAAACCTATAGGCAACAAAAATGTCTCTTGGACGAAGCAGAAATTTTCCTCCAAAAAGTACACGCGCTATCATTTTTCAGGACAAGAAAGGAAACTTACATTTTCAACTTCTTTGACAAAAAAAATAAAAGACTGGCTGGATGTTTCACGAAAAATGAAAACAAATTTTCTGATGGCTTTAAGATAAATCTGTTTATAGCAGAAATTCTAGAATTTCATCTGGCTCTTTCGCTCCACAGAAGCGTGGAGGCATATGGTACCTACCAGGAAGGATTATCTCAGGGAATCCCATTTTGCGAGCCACAGCAGTGGATCTGTCTACAAGGTGGGAAAAATCCTTTTGAACCTGCACTAGATCGCCAGGAAGCAGTTTCAGGGAGACCCAAAGACCTAAGAAAAGAAAGGTAACACTTGTCTACTGAAAAGAAAAAAAAAAAGAAAGTACAAACCCATGAAATTTAAGCCTGTGCTTAAGAGGAACCGTTTCTTCATGTGATCTCCATGCAACAACGCCTTAAATATCCCAAGCTGGTTCTCAGTTGGCCCAGTTCTCTCTCTCCCTAACGCTGGAGAAGACCTTACAGGGTAGATTCTCTGAAGTAAAATATAAACTTTCTGAGATGAATCCGCTCGTGTATTTGAGTAAGGCCAGACACACAAGCAAGAGCAGAAGAATCCTGAGTAATGCAGTTTAAAAAGCCATTTAGAATATGCAATCAGCCATATTCACTTAAAAATATTTTATGTCCATATAAACAGGTTTCTCTTAAAAATATCACATTATTTGCTAAATAAGTCACAGCTAGAGAAGTTCTTTTCACATAAGAACAGCTCCTGTTTTGATTTTTTTTTTAGCTCCCAATGTGCTGGGATGACAGACAGCCATTACAAAGACCACACGTTTGGCTCAGGGAAGGTAGCAAACTCCAGTACGGCTTGATCTCTGGACTTTCAACAGGTTATTTATTTTCCTTTGTAAGCACGGGGAACCCTTCCCCGCACCAGGTTTTTACATTAGCTTCTCGCCCGACTGCTGTACCTTGCCCTTTATGATTTACTTCCTTTGCAGCGATGACTTTGTTGAAGACAGAAGTGAGGGGCTCATTTTCTCCAATCACATGAGAAGTTATCAGTGGGGACATGATTAGCTGTCTCTGTCTGATGTATGTTTCCATGGCAATCCTGAGAAGAACAACAATAGAGACTGGGAAGCAGACAGACTAACATCAAACATGTGCTCTGCAAGAAGAGGGCTGGCCAACAGCTGACTGTTTTCCAAAGACTTTTTTTTTTTTTTAAAGGATTCCATGGGAATTTTTTTTTTCTTTTTCACCTGCACAAACCCAATGGAAATACATTTAAACTCTCAAACTAGGAAATACATCACAGTGCTACTCACGCTTAGGATAAGTAACATTGACCCAAAGACTCCATGACTACATTTGTATCATACTGAAAAAGCAGCCTACAGGACAACCATAAACATAGCCGGCTCTACTTTGTCCTTGTTTTCCATCCACAGACCGACTGCCTTGCCGACCTGTGAGAACAAGTCCAGCTACGGGCTAGCATGCAGGAACAGCTCAGCACAGAGCCTCGTGCTCCCATCAGATGAGCTGAGCCCTGTCTTCAGGTGTGCCTCAGAGCCGCCCCTAAGAGACTATGTAGATTAACTAGGGATACGTTAACATAACTAATGACTGCTGTGAGAACACAAGTGATGAACCTATCCCTAGTCACAAACACGCGTATTGAGCTTTGGATCTTGAACCCGACTTCACTCCTGTACCCACACCCTCAATAATGAACCAAAGCATACACAAAACGAGGTCTCCACAGTCTCCCCATCCTTGTAGAGGTGTTCAGGTTTGGATGTAAACTTAGCCTCATTAGAACAGAAGCAAAATGAGGTGGGGGGGAAGGTAGCAGACTAACATTATTTTGCAAAGGAAAAGACATCCTTCTTTCCAGCCTTCCAGGCCCTGAAAAGGTGGGAGGGAAACAAAGCCCCACACAATCTCCCCTGAAAATACCTTGTAATAGCATACGGCTACACCAAATGGATTGCTATATTTAGGACTGTAACAACACGGCTAAGTCTACCCAAACAAGCTTCATTTTAGTTACTGTAATGTGCCGAAAGAGCAGAGAGCAGGCAGAACACACAAGTCTAACTAGCAATACGGGAACGCAAAAGACATTTGGGCTTGAATTTCTTTCCCAGAAAGAGGGAGAAATCCCTTTCCTATTGTCCTCTGACTCACCCTTAGAAGGTAATCTGGAAAGTTAAGAGGCAGACAATACGCAAGGGTCCTGCACAACAGTGACAAGGAGGAGTTGCGTTCTCTGTGCTCAGGTCTTTCTGAAAATCTTGCCTCTCAACCCCGTAATGCTTTTGAAGGTCACATCCCTCAGACCCCACAACATTATTTTGCACTGTGCTCTTCTTTCTTACCTCAGATGATAATGGGTACCTAGCAATTTCAGCTGCATTGCCAAAACTCCCTAAGCAATTTAGGCTGTCATACAGACTGTAAATCAAGGGAACAAAGGCTTCAGAGGACTGACAAAAATCTTTTCCTTCAAAGAGCTGACTACTGCCATAAGCTAATCTATTTGTAGAGACCTTGGTACACTGCCAGGCTCCCATACAAATTCGTCCTTCTCCAAAGGACAACTGCTTTAAATAAGCCAGATGTGATGAACTCTGAAGTCCAGTACTTACTGCTGAAATGGAATAAAATGTTGCTTTTCCTCATCATCCACCTTTCCGTGTATGATATCAGTGATGTCCATCACTGCAATGACACAAGTTCATCACATAGTTTTGCCAAGTTGCTAAAGAATACAGAGAGAGCTTTCCCCTATCAGAATGGAAACAACAGTTGCTTATTTTGGACCAATGCCACTCATGACAGCAACAGAGAGCACCACTCTCATCTTAACTTTTTAAAATGCACCTTTTCATTGATTCAGCCTATGATAGTGAATGTGAATATACTCTCTGACAATAAACAGGTGGGACGCAGGCATTTCAAGGCAAAGAAATTACACTTAGATTTCAAATGCTGATTATTTTTAAATTGTTTTTCACCACAAACTTCAAGCAAGTCTCTTCACAAGAGATCACAGGAACTGAACAGGAATTGGATGTCTCATTCACCAAGGCTCCTTTAAAAACTCCAGCTTTACCCCATTAGTCATGAGGAGAAAACCCCTCTTTGATAAAGATCTGAAAAGCCTACTACACTGATGGCAGTGTCTTATCTTTTTAGGCGGTGACAAAACAAAAAGTGAACAGTAACAGGGTTTCACCTTCATATACAACTTTCATTAAAAGGTCTTAAAGAGGTACTATATGCAGCTCAGTATCAGAATCTCCATTTTGAAGCCAGAGATGCTGACACTAAGAGATTAGTAGGCTTTGCTGACATACAGCATATATTTCCCAATTCCTAGCCCACTGTCCCAGTCACTGGGCCGTGCTATTTTCTCCATTGATGGAATTTGTCATACCTGCCACACCAAAGGGCCTCCGGAGTCCACAGGTATGTTTCTTCCCATCTTTCAGCTCCATATGCCCCACCCTCACAATCTGACACACCAAGCTGATTTTTGGTCTGATCAAGTCAGAACTGCTTAAATCCTAGAAATTAATTAAAATAAAGTTGTATCAATCTGTTTTATGAATGGAAGAGAAGACGACAGAGAGAGTAAGACTTTTTTGTTAGATTGTACACACATGTAAGAGGAAATCTATTATTTTTTAGAAAGTAAAACCTGCTCCCTTTGAGCCCTAAGGAAAAAAAAAACAAACTAAAAAACCCAAACAGAAAAAAAACCCAACAACAAAAACCTACAAAAACACTAGCAATTTCCACACAGCAATTTCTAAACATCCCATTACTCTTTGATAACACACCCCAGCAACAGTACTGGAAGGAGAGTAAAGGATGTTAATTGCCAAAGTACTAGATCCTGATGACGAGGCAGGTAGTTTGTGCCACCTTTGCTACTTGTCAGAAGTTATTCCATTCATGTGCAGTTCTTCGATTAACATCTTGTTGCAAATAAACTCCAACACAGAAACCAATCAGCAAAGCAATGAACTGAAAAACAAACAACTATGATCTCAAGCTTAGATTTTGGGTACAGTTAGGCTCCAACAGAGAAGTGTTTATTAGGATTTTCAGAAATGCACGGGCGAGCAACAGCCACTGACAGTACTATCGCAAAATAATACACCTTTACTAATGCTTTGGACTGACATACGAAAAAAATACCTTTTCAGCAGCATTCCTCTGAGGCTGCCTATAACATCTTAAGTGTCCATGAAAACACCCCAAAATGCCACTTGTGACCCCTCCCTGCTGCATGGGGAGAGGGAAAGAACCCAAAACTCAGATGTCTGCAGCATGGGGAAGAATTTCCAGGCTGTAAATACAATAACTTACCGTAAAGACTGCGTGAAGGTTATTTAGTTTCTCAATTTCTTTAGGCATTCCATTACTGCCCCAACGAACCAGGTAATTTTCACTGCAAATAAAGGAGGGGAAAAAAAAAAAAAAAAATATCAACACCTGACATTCCCATTACCTGGCAAAAGCTCAAAAGCATTTTAATCTTTTAGGAATATGTGAAAAATTCTGCCAAAATCTTCTATCCCAAAGCGATTCTGAAATGACTCATTTCAGTGAAGGCAGAAGGCAGGCACGATGTGAATGAGTACTCTCAGTTACTTCCCTATGTAACTCTGACTGCATGTCCACACCTGATAAGCTTCAATGATGGAGGCAGAGGGTGCCTGACACGTACATGCTTCCTTGATAAAGTTCTTCATATCTTCTCCTATACAAGATGCCCAACTCTTAGGTGTGAATTTGCACTGACTTGACAGCAAACATCATGCATATACATGATTTAATGGGAAGCAATTAATCAAATGCATCAAGCCTAGTGACAACAGTAGGAAAATTTAAGAACGTAAAGAGACAATCTGGGATTTTGACTAACGTATCACAGAAATGCCCAGCTTTAAGAAGGAGAGTGCATGGACTCAGAACCTTGACTTCCTATCTCATCTGAAATTAAATAACCCCCTTCCAAATCACCACTGCAGCAGCAACCAACAGAGCTTTAAAACTTATCTGCTGGATCTTCCTTTCTAACCTCTATTGGCTTTTTTAGAATGACCACAGTGATGACTAAATTGGTTATGCAGCTACAAAAAAAACCCCTACCTGATGAATTTGGAGAGATCAGGATCATAGAGGCTCATTAACAGCTCTGCATCTTCCCCAATATTGCAGACAAAATTCTTGAAGTTTACATACAGGCTATATGTATGTGTTGTGTTGAATATTGGCTGCCCTCGGAGGTCCAAAGTCTGTTGCAGGGACTGCAAAGAAGGAGAGTACTCCCATTAAAAACAAACACAGAAGAATTTAGTTCTGCTGCCAAAGAGTAATGCACAAATACAGTGGGTACTAGTTACTTGAAGAGGACAAAGCCAGTGACAAGAGATGTACCTTCTCTTCCTGGATTCTTTCATCAATCCTTTTGGATGCAGTTTCATGGGACTTGAAGAGAGAGATTGTGCTAGTTTCGTCTGGGTCCAAGATGTTCCCATTGTCATCTCGTACAACCAGGTCCAAACCTAGGATCCTGAGTAGCATGCAAGTCATGAGGACGAAAGAAGCAACACAATATTTAAGAAGCAAAGGTGACTGAAAGAGCACAAACCACAGATCAAACTGTGAACTGCACCAAGCACCAATGCACACCAACTCCATTCCTTGTAACAATCACATTGCTAGTTTTCCTGTCCTGAAATACTTACCCCTCACTCCCCATTTTCCCATTAAAGGGAAAAATAATTAGTCAGGTAACTTAATTCTAAGATGACATCTTCTTTGTTCTCTCTTGTTGTTTTTTTTTTTTTTTTTTTTTTTTTTTTTAAAAAAGGTATGTGTATCTATCAAGCTTATGGATTATGGCTAATTATTATTCTTTGCCATAAGCTTTCTTCTTAATTGACTTATTTGACCTGATCAAGTCTGACAGGCAGATAAATGAGTTCTGGAGACAATCCCTGTTCTGTACAAACCAATGAAAGGTGGAGTTTTGGTGGCCTATAGAACTGTATTACTCAGTTGCTGATAAAGCAGTTTAGTTCATAACCAGCATCCAAATCCTGGCTCCAGCAAGCCAGGCACAAATTGTACTCTGTGGGAAATACCATCATGTGCCAGCATTTCTGCAGAATTAAGACAGGTAAGGTTTCCTGCCAAGTCAAAGAGATTGCTGGCATATGAAGAACCAACCGCTACATGCCCACCTGCCAGGCTAGTCACATTCTGATGGGGACTGAAAGCTGTAATTATCCCCTTTTCCAAGGAAAAATGTAAAGCCTAGTTCAGTGTTCCCTCTGCGTGGTCATTTACACCGCTTTGTATTAATAGCCATCTAGAGCCTTTACTGGGATTTCAGATTCTCCCGTGCCCTCAAGACATAGTTTGGAGTTTACCTGTTGCCATAGTCAATCTTAGCAGTGACTTTCTTCTTGAGCTCAGCTAGCTCATCTTTGGGAAGAGTTCCAGACAGTATCTGTGACCGCCATTCTATCAGGCTATAAGTCATTTGTTGGACATGCCGAAACTGTGTTGTCTTGTTATCCTACAGGAAAAAAGGGACAATTTTAAGCTAGTGATAGCCTGAAAACAATGAGCTCAGTAAGCTTTCTGAAATGTACTCAATTGAATCTACCATACAAGCTGTATTTAACTAAAAATATCTGAGAAACTGGCACCATATGACACTACAAGATTAGACCCATGGAACAAATTCTCCAGTACTTTGCACTGCCAAGGTTTAAGTGTCTCAAGATTTGGGGTCTTCACCTCAGGACATTATTTCAGAAAAACCTCACAGACAAAAAATAGACTTCTGGTGTTTCCCAGCACTTAAACTGCTATGATGCGTGCTTTTTATATACAGGACAGAGAGGTGATGTTAAATGATCGCAATTGTGTTCCAGCACATTGAGACAGG